GGCCTTTGGCAGGGGTAGAGCCCTTTTGAATAAGATTACTGCTCTTGAAAAGGAGACCCCACAGAGCTCCCTCGCCAGCTGTGTGTGAACGAGGAAGTAGACCCTCACCAGACACGGAATCTGCTGGCACCTTCACCTTGGACTTCCCAGCTTCCAGAACTGTGAGAAACAAATGTGTTGTTTATAAGCCACCTGGTCTATGGTATTCCCTTACAGCAGCCCAAATGAACGAAGACAAAGAGACAGGTGTTTCTGCTATAATGTGGCAAATGCAACTCAGTAAAAGCTCATTGACTTGCAAAATCTTGCATTATAAAGACGGAGTTCATGGGGAAAATAGGCTTCAAAATCTATGCGGCCCTGTAATCAGAAAACTAAAAAAATCAATCCTAAAAAATACTAGCGTGGTTAAGGAGACATGCGAAATTGCTTACGAATTTTCTTAATACAGCTATCATGCTAGGGTTTGACATTTAAAAAGAAGATCAAGGCAGTATGATGGGAGGGGTGGAAGGAAGTAGAAGCTGCTGAGTTTGAAGTAAGGGCAAATGCAAAAAAAAAACTGAGCGATAAGCATCCTAAAATGGAGCACAGCCCCCCGCTCCCCGCCCTATCCCCTCCCCCTGCCTCTCCCCACCCCCACCAGAGTCTTCTCAGAAGAGCGGGGAGTGACAAGTACCACGTACAGGACAGAGGAATTCTTTGGAGGGTCCTGTACTCAGTGTGTTGGTGCATTACAGGGTCAAGTGCTGGTGCCTGGTCCCACAAAACATTGGCATATTGGCAAAATTGACACGTGAACCAACGCTACCTCTGTGTCATAATTACATCATTCTGTATTTGCCCATCACACATGAGCCAAACACAAGAGGCAGCACAGCAGCCTGCTCCGCCCCCTTCCAGAGACGTCGTCACGGAGCTATGGTGCCCTGAAGCATGGCAGCTTCTCCCCAGAAACCTTCGGCGAGCGCAGACGCGTGCAGGCAGTGTGCTCGAACCGCTGAGGGATGCTCAGAAGACGAGATTCCCGCTGTCCGCGACATCAGCATTTGGCGAGGGCGACAGACGAGCAAATCGATGTGCGATAAACATCGGGAAAGAGAGACAGACACGGCTCTGTGTCGTCCCAGATGCACCCAGAGCGTTTCTACCTGTTGACTTGGGGGCAGTCACATGGTGTTGTCAGGGGCAACGACCCCAGGCTTAAAGCAGCTCGTAGCCACATCCTGCCTCTCCCAGGAAGTCTTAACCAAGTTACTCTACCAACCCAACGGGTCTGCGTCCTACAAGGTAGAAGTAATGATAATAATTGTACCACTCGTCTCATGTGACATGCGTGAGGCGCTTAGCGCAGCGCCCACCACTCTCGGTGCTGATTCCCGCTCTGCCTCCACCAGAGACAGAGGCGTCCCAAGAAATGGGGACACGCTGGCACCCGAGGGCCTGGGGCTGGTCCGGGCAACGGCGGTCAACTGCACAAATGAATTCTAACAGCACGAACATGGCAATGGAGAATTATCGAAGACAAGTCTCCTTTTATGCCTTTCGATCTTCACTTTCCAGGAAGGGGTGCTGGGACCCCCCCTTGACTGACGAAGACACTGAGCCTCAGAGGAGGCGGGCCACTTGCCCCGGGCCACTCAGCACGTTAGCAGGCGAACCAGGATGCACCAAGCCTGCGAGCCTGAGCGTTTTGGGTGAACTGCATGTGCGCCCGCAGAGCCAGGGCCGGCCAGGGGCTGGACTAACACACCTGCATCCAGCCTGATGGCATTTAAACACGGTTTCTCATTTAGACGCCTTGGTGTTTCTCACACATAAAGTCCCATTAGTTTGCCACGCCTACAAAATACTCGATGTGAGACAAGACGGGGTTATTTTTAAACTGCGTTTCGAACGGAATGCTTGGGAAGACGCGTTTCGGAACATGAGTGACAGCGGACCACGTTTCTGGGGCACTGATTCTGGGAAGAACTACGGGAGGGGCCCTGATCTCGTTATACCTGCCCCATGGTGGGTGATGTCCTGGAGCCCCTCATCCAGCCACAGGCAACACTGCGCTCTCTGTGACTGACATGTGGGGGCAGGAGCCCAGGGCCTGGGGACGGCTGGCCGGACCTGGCTATGAAAGCAGCAATTTCACACCTTCCAAGCAAGTGTGGAGGCGTTCTTATGAGACCAGGCATCAGGGGAGACGGCAGATCACTGAAGGAAAAAATAAATCCCCAGAAGGATGACTAGCGCTGAAGTAATTTTCACTCATCCCGCCATTTTTACCCCAGCTGAAGGCAGGAGCATGCGTCTGCCGACACTTTCAGCCCAAGAAGCATGCTTTCTCTCTAGCACGTGCCTCCCTTGCGTGAAGACAGACACAGGGACGATGACCAGAAAGCAAGGACAGCCCAGCCGCTGCTCCCTGCAGCATGGCCCACCTGCCAGCCGGGCCTCCTTGGTAACCCAGAGAAGGCAGGGGAGCTAGTAACAGCCACCTGCACTTCAGCCGAGTCTTCTGCCATCTGACATCCTCTGTGCACTTCCTGTGTGCCGGGCACTATTCTGGCCTGGGGGGAAGGGTGGCAGTGGGGGACAGGAGAGGAGGGGAAACAAGCCCCTTCTAACCTAGGGGCTCCACTCAAGGAAAGACAGACGACACCCAAGGAAACGAGTCAACCGTCATTCAGAAGCGACAGTGCCACATAGGAGTTAAGAGGGCTGATCACACAGGGCCGGGCAGGGGTTTATCCCAAGAGCACCTGGCAGCTACTGGAGGCCTTAAGTAGAGGAATGAGATGATCCAATCAATGTTTTAAAATTATTCATTTCCTAATTTCACCATTCAACAAATCCTGCAAATGCTTGGGACTCTCGTTTTTCTGATGAGGTGACTGAGACTCAGAGATGTAAGATAATTGTTCTAAAGACCCCCAAATCTAGAAGTGTCAGGGCCAAGGTCTGCACTCAGCACTCCGCCTGCCCACTCTGCGCCAGGATTCCCCACTGGAGGCACACGACCCTCACCCCCCACCCCACCCCACCGATTTAGGACGAACAGGTCCTTTCCACTTCTGACCGACAGTGTGGGTACATGTGACCACCTGCTCTTTAATAAAGGATCATTTCATTTACAGAGAAAGCATTCAAGGCATCAGGTGACAGCTCTTCCAATTAGCGCACGGCACGGCCTCCCGCCCACTTGGGTCCAGCCCTGCTCCGGTCTGGCTTTATTCACTCGGAAAACCAGAATCTGCTCAAGATGCTGGAGGCTCTCAGATTTTTAAGGGTTACTACTGTTCAGACTTTAAGAGTTCATTCTCTCGTAAAACACGGTGTCCAGTCGTACACATCCAAATGTTTCTTAACAACTATTATTTTAAAAAAAGAAGAAGAAAGACTACTTATAAGCCAACTTTGGATTTCATTAAAGTTAGTTCTGGAAAGGTTCGACCTGAATTCTTCTGAACTGCAACGTGGAGATGATCGAGCACTTTGCAAGCCCATCGGACGCAGGCAAGTGTCGGGGGGGAGGAAAGAGCAGAAGCAGCTTGGAGCCGGAGCTCTGCGCAGATGCCCCCAAGCCCGGGAGCCCCCCGTGAAGGGGCCCAGTCCACTCCTGTCCAGTTCCCGGCACACTTACAGTGACCACTGGGAGAATGAGGTGTCGACTCTGCCGCTTGGAATGCAGCCTTGATGGAGGAGATGAAAGGACCACCCCCCCCACCCCAAAAAAAAGGCTCGATGAGACGGCGCATGTGCAAAAAGGAAACCACGCCCAGTCACGGATCAGTTGGGGAAAGAAAACTAAAATAATAGAGAACCACGTTCTTAGAGAACCACACAGGACCCTACATGACCAAACGCTGAGTTGAGAAGGGGCGGATCGGCCAGGGCTGGAGCGGGAGGGAAAAGGCAGATGGGTCGGCAGGAAAACAGCCTCTCCCCGACAAAGATGACCACGTGCTAATCCCAGCACCTGTGAAGATGCGAGGTTGCAACGGCATGAAGGTTGCCGGGTGCGCCTAAGATCGCTTGAGGTGGGGAGGCGAGCCTCGATCATCCAGGTGGGCCTGACATAATCACGAGGGTCCTTAAAAGTGCTTCGAAGAGGGAGGAGGCAGGACGCACTCGACCTGCCGTGGCCGGCTTTGAAGAAAGAAGGGGCCACGGGCAAGGAATGCAGGAGACGCGAGAGGCGGGAATGGGCAAAGAAAGGGATTCTCCCCAGAGGCTGCGGAAGGCGGCCCTGCCGCCACCTCGATCTGAGCCTAAGGAGGCTCTTACCCTCCAGAACGGTGACAGAAGACATTTGTGCTGCTGAAGTCGTTACATTTATGGACGGGAGGACACTCATCTCTGAGCGGGCCTTCTGCTGCTTGGGCATGGTGGCGAGGGCAGGGGTGCAGGCAGGGGGCCTGCGGAGACCAAAGCCCTGCAGACAGGAAGCTCATGGTGTATACTGTGCAAGGAGGGGCTCACCTGCTCGGAGCAGGACCTTGACAGTGATGAGGGCCAAGGTTCCGGTGGCCCCTGAGCCTCAGGGAGGGAGGGCAGCCATGAAGTGCCAGGCCCAAGAAAGCCACTAAGCGTTTTACCTGGGGGCGGCCACGGAACAGCCTGGAAGAGATACGTGCGATGGACCTCTGGGAGAAGCCCCGGCAGGGAGGGCAGAGAGGGCGAACGCCACTGCCTGCCCAAACCCACGGGGGTTTGGGGTCTCCCCCTGTCCTTTCCAGACAGATCACGTGGACGCGGACTGACCGGGACGCAGGTACCAGCAGCTTCCTTCTCACTCAGAAGTCAGGAGAAAACAGCGATCCTGGGTCCAGGGCCCGCCCCGCCCCTGTGAGATGACGGCTCTGCAGCAACGCCCTTCCTATTGTGAGAATGAGGCTCAGGCACGTTAAGTGCCCTGCCCGGTGCCCACCCGAGCGCAACGAGCCATCGCAGGTCTGTGACCCGAGCGGCCGGCCACGCAGTCGGAACCCCGCCCCCGGCGCCGGTACCTGGATGTTGAGCCGCCCTCGATGCGCCCCCAGGCCGTAGCGTTTCACCGTGGACGCGTGGAGCTGGAAGTCTGTGATTTTTAAGGTTTCCAGACCAAGAGGCGGGCAACCTGGAAAGGACAACGCTCGTTAAAAACAAGGACGGCTGCTGAAAGAAACAGGTTTCTGCTTTTCTAAAGCCGCCCACGTGCTTTTCTGTCCTTCCCCCCAAACTCCCAGGGGTCATCGCAGCCCCGCCCAGCGGCGCCGCCGGCGCTGCGGGGACAAATGCGGTGCAGCCGCCGTCAGCATCGTGCCGGTTCTCCCCGGCGCCGGCATCTCCCCGCTGGGTGTTTGTGCCCCGATGTTCCTTCTCCCTGTTGCTGTCTACACTACCCCAGTGTCCCCAGTTTCTGGTGAAGGAACCTTCCACAGGGTGACGCCGTCGGGGAGCGTTATTGGTTAGGAATTTCGGAGCAACCCCGTGGGCTGAGCTCTGCCAATGAATCAGAACTTGTTGATTTTCCTCCGGCAGCTCCCGCCCTTGCGTTGTGCGTGCCAATGTGCGAAGCGATGTAAACGGCGGAAATCCATTGTCCTCTGTTCTTGACAAAGCGGGTAACTTTGAGCGTGGCTTCGAAACACAGTCGGGTCCCAGCTGACCCTGGAATAAGACGCCGGTGCCGGGAAAGCCCCTCGGCCATCGCGCCATCGCCCCCACAGATAAGAGCTGTAACAGCAGCCCCGGGGCTGGAATCCAGGCCTCCTGACTGCTGGGCGGCCGCTCTCACGCCCTGGCATCCGCTGGGACAGTCCCAGTGATGCTACCTCCTTCAAGTCCGACCCTGGAGGAATGAAACGAAAACCCTGCAGTAGCAGTGAACGAAGTCCATTTCCGCGGGAAGTACGAGAAAGTCCCTAAGGTAACAGGCCGTCGGGGTCACTGCCGAGACGGGAGAGCCCCAGGGATCCGGGAGCACCTGGGGAGGTGGGGTGTCTGTCCATCCACGACGAACTCCCGCAGGGGAGAGGCCTCCCCCGTCTCAAGAGGCTGGAGGAGCCCGGGAAGATGGCGGCCAGGGGTGCTCTGCGGGCACCTGGTTAGGAAAGTGAGGGCTGCGGGGGCCCGAGACACCATCTAGTCCTCCCCGTAAGTTCTCAGAAGAGGAGACTGAGTCCTGAGACTTGAGGTGAGTCATCCAAGGCACCGCTGGACCTCAGCTCCTGGCCTCCAGATTCTCATCTCCGGGCTTTCAAACGATGCCACGCTGTCCCCCGGCCCTGCCCACAGCAGCCAGGCGGCGGCCCCAATGGGCGAATTTCCATCAGCTGTCTGTGCCGTGCACAGGGATGCAGATGTGAGCACCCAGTGTGGTGAGGAGTGGGGGGGCGGGGGGGGTCAGTGGTGCCACTGTCACCTGCATGACGCCGCTAGAGAACTCACAGGGCTTCCGGTGGCACCGCAAGCAATGGCTGGCTTCTCGGAGAGGGGGCCATGCCACAAGAGGGGGTCACGAGAATGGGGACATGCAGTGAATGGGGGAACACAGTTAATGGAGGGGGGGTGCAGCAAGTGGGAGGCTATGTAGCAAACGGGGGTTCCAGCAGCGAGCCTGGGAGGCGGCAATGCAGCAAGGGGGTCATGGAGCTAGCGGAGGTCCCTACAGCGAGCACCCCTCACCACCCGAGGCTGAGTCCACAGAGAGTAATCTAGTCACCATCACCGGGTCCTTCACTGGGGTATGTCCTGGACGCCTGGAGGACATTCTCGGTTCCAAACGTTCACTGAGCGATTCTCCATCCTGCCTGCCCGAAATTGACTTCAAGTGTCCGACAACTGAGCAAGGCTCTTTCTTACCCAACTTCCAGAAATCCATGCTGCCTGCCACTACCGGCCATGACAGTCACGGAACCTGCCCCTCAGGCAGGCAGCCACCTGAGAGCAGGTGCCCAAGCGTCCGAGCTGCCCCACATGGGTCTCAGGATGGTGGCCATTCGAACGTGTTCCCATCCCATTCCTTGGTAGCGGAAAACAACGCAGGTGGTGAATTCCGCACACTGCGTCCAGCTCACGCCTTCCATTCATACCATTTAGATAAAGACAGACAGGTGGGCGGACACACATACATATTATTTACTAGCTAATAAAGCAACATTTGCTATCCAAAGCGTTTCTTCCAGAAAAGGAAAATTTCATGTACATACATGAACATTATAATTCGAAAAGGAACTACATGAATAAAATTGCATGTTCATTAAAATTGCTCTCCCGTTGATATGTGGAAGCACCCCACATCTCTCCCCAAGGTACACAAGGGGTGGAAAGTACCCATAATTGGGGTTGGGGGGGGAGGCACATCTAATATCAACTCAAAATCTCAACGCCTGCCCTCTCAAGGGGCTGGATCATCATGCACACCTGGTGAGGGCAGCCTTCCACACAGCTGACGATGCTGTCAGCTGCCACATCAGACAAACGTCCACTCCCGTCACTCTCGAGACGCCGTGACAGCACATGCCAGAAAAGCCATTCCCTCCACCCGCAGCACAGCTGATGACGCCTTTGGTGGGGCACCCAGGCGAACACACACACTCGGCCCGCTCACAAACGCGGTCGTCAGCGACTCCTCATAAGGATTCTGTTTTTCTTACTAGAGGACACTCTCTTTAGAGAAGTTAGTTTTGTTTGAAATCCTTCATCAGCCATGCTACTGTAAAGAAGCTGGAGATGGCTTTACACTGAGAACATGCCATGCCCTTCACAGGCAAAGACGACGTTCCCGCTGCACGTGGGTGGTGCGGCTCCTCGGGCGGTGAGAAACCAACCATGGTTACCTTAAACCGGAAGAGGAATCATCGGAGGGATGGCAGGAATCCCGCAGAAGGGACCAAGGCAGGGACACGGGACAGGTGCAGGGAGAGCCACGAGTTCATCATCCACAAACCATGTGCTGCCAGAGGAACGGGGTGCAGGTGGCGGACCCCCACAGCATCACACCTCTCGGGGGTCTCCACTGGACCTCACACCGCGCCTCCCGGAGAGGGCATGACTCGCTTCATCTCATGTCTGCCTACTGGGAACATGTCCTCCTGTGAGCAGGAGGAATTAGTGCCAGGTCTCCAAGTTCACAGCCGACATGTCCGTGGGACGGGCGTGTGGAGTCGCCTGTCTACGGAAGCCACCTCCCCGGCCCCCGTGGCCTCCGTAACACACCATTTTCCCGTTTCTCTTCTTCCTTCCTCCCTGCTTGAAGGGAGCCTGCAGCACAGGGTCGTAACCCTCTGACTCCCAGAGAGTCTTCCCTCCCCCCGCCTTCAGCCCATTGCCTCATCTACGAGATGTCACACAGGCCACCGACGCCGGCAGCAATCAGATGACACATGCACATGATCCGACACAGAAGCCCACTGGTGAGAGTGTCTGGAGAGCAGCCATTCCCCATGACATTCCACACATCAAGCCTGCCTGGCAGGAGAAGCCCCGCTGGCTCCTTGGCTGCGTATGTGACTACTGCAGCTGACACGCGTGTCCCGGTTGTCCCCCACAGTCTACTACCGAAGAAGCTGTCCAGGGCTGTGGCAACTTCCTCCTCCTCGGAGTCCTGTCCCCGCACGGGCAGATGGCAGAAGCCCCAGCTGGGGTCAGAGACACAGCTCTCACTCGGGAGGCCGCCGCCTATTCCGGCACACCTCCATGCCCTTCCTCCACCACAAGTCTGTTTCACGTCGACTCTCAGTCCGTTCCCATAACCACCGATGCAATTTAGCGCGACAAACATTTCCTGCATCCCCACCTACCGCGGGGCGCCCGCCTACTGCGGGGCGCTGTACCCCGTAATGCTGTATCCCGCTAAGCTCAGCTAAAACTACACGCTAGATCAGCTGAGAGTCACCTGCCTTCCCAAAACCACATTTGGAAACATTTCGTAGTTAGTAAAAAGTTTCAATATAAACTGGTTTAAGCACAAACTCTCGATTCCACCCCGCTTTCTGCAAAGATGCACGAGGCAAAGCTCCCAGGTCAGAATCACACTATTCCCGACAAAAGTTCCTAGGCCCACCTGAACACTGACACTGAAAGTCTGACACAGAAATCTTCACGTTTAGAAAAGTGAAGGCTTTTCCTACACTGAAGGATGGAAAAATAGAGGCAGGAAAATAATGGGCAGGAAAATTATCTTTGGATTTAAAGATTCTAAGTTAATTCGAAACACAGAGTGTCGAAATGTTCTCCATATTAAATACTCAACTCTGAGGAATTTCAACATAGTTCGACCTGATGCATCGTCTTCCTCTTTCTTCTACCCTGGGAACTTCCTCCTCAGGACTTCCGGCAGGTCGACTCATCGTCCAATACAAGCAAAATAGCTGCTCTTCAGTCTCGGGGTCACCCGCCAAGTGGAACAACTCTTCATGGACAAGGAAGTCACAGAGGATAATTAAGAAAACACTGCAAAGCCACCAGCTCCCAGTCCCTCGGGCCAAGGCTCAAGCCCACCTCCTGGTCCCCCAGGTGACATCTGCAGAACTTCCGCCACTCAGGTGCACCCTGGTCTTTGGACACGAGAGGGGACTACTGCTAACATTAGAACCCCAAAGGCAGTAAGCAGCCTTTGAGAAAATCCACAGAATGAACTAGAAAAGGACCCCTCCACATCTTCAATACCAGAACCGCAGAAGGACGGAAGACAGAAAGGAGTCGCAAGTCACCATCCCGCCAGTCCCTGCTTGTCCTTGGCTGCCGGCAGATCCCCAAGACAGTGGCCATCAAACTAACGCGATCCTCACTGGCAACCCGGACAAGCGAGGGCTGAGGGAAAAGAAACCCAAATCTAGAATCCACGAGAAATCGCAGTGCCCATCTCTCATGGTCATTATGAAGATCAATGGCAATGTCTTTAGAGGGTCCCACTCAAACCACAGACAGCAGGAAGAACGGCTGGAACAATGTGCCGGGGACACATGGACATACACACTGCCACAGGGTTGAGCCCAGCGGACTCTGCCAGCCAAAGAACTCCAGAAGCACCGTGAAGTTGGAACGAGGTGTTAGAATTCCTTTGCTTTCAAATTCTCACGGAAACATCCTGCGCCTGTCCAAGTTACTGTCACCTTCCAACACTGAGGACTT